CTAGAGCCCCCAGTTAGGTCTAGCCAGACCCCCATAAACAGTTCATTCTTGAGGTGGATGCTTCTGACATTTGGATAGGAGCAGAAACTGATTCTAAACTTCATCCTTATGCCTTCTTTTCCCACAGACTTTCCCCCATAGAGAGAAATTATGATATAGACTTGGGAGAGTGGCATCACTTGCTGGAAGGCTTGGAACCTCCTGTGCTGGTTTGGACTAGTCACAAATTGATTCACCAACACTGAAATTATTATTCCTCACTAAGAGAAGAGGTGCCTCAGGCTCAGCAATCTGAACCTGATCCCAACACTGGTCCACCTAATTGCATTTATGTACGTAGTGCAGTAAGCCCTCATCTCATTTATTCATCTCCTTTCAACCTCAGACTAATGAACAAACGGAGCACATGAACCAGAAGCTCGATGCCACTGTTGGGTGTCTCTGTTCCTCACGTCAGTCTAGTTAAAAGTTCACAGCTCCCTTGGGTTGAATACTGCAAAAACCAACGTGTGCCTTCTGCTAGTGGCCTCTCCTCTTTCAAGACCTTTTTGGGGTACCAGCCTCCTCTTTTTCCTCCTGAAGATAAGAACCCATCTGTGCCATTGGTCCAGCATTACATTCACGGGTGCCAAAGGATTTGGAAGTGTTGTTTCTGCCCTCAAGTGCACTAAGGAACCGAATGAATGCTTCACTGACAGAAGGCTCTGCCCTGCACCTCAGTATGTTCTCAGCCACGAGGTTTTGCTTTCTGGGATAATTTAAGTCTTCTTCTTGGAAAATTGTACCCTAAGTTCATTAGTCCTTACAAGGTGGTTTCTGTTTTTAGTCTGACTTCGGTGCGTCTGGACCTTCCTTAAGGAAGGGAGTGCTGTCATGATCCTTGGGTGAGCATGTGTGATAGTGTTTGGATGACCTGGCAGCCCTGCCCATCAACAACATTAGCTGCAGTGTTTAAAAGAGTTGCAGGAGAGGGATTCAAAACATGAAGATTCGACTCAGTTGTTTTGTTCGCAAGCTGCTCCCTTCAAGACCCCATCATAGGAAATAACCAAATAATTTGCTAATTTCAACAGCAATTCTCGCTGGACCTCCTGCCTGCCCTCTCTCCACCAATTTATTATTTTCTCTTGGGATTCCCTGACACTCCCCCAGAACTACTCTGCTCACACAAACAGTAAACCTGCGTAACTTAAAACCATGCAATAATAATTTGCTCCATCTAACAACGTCTCTGCCTTTCCAGTCAGCAGACTTCACAGCGCCCCACTCATTATCCAATAATAAAACAATTGAAACTGGTTCTGCTAAGTCTCTCTGGTGGTTTCTGCACATGGGTCTGAAAAATTCCATACATAATGTAAATATCAGCCTCTGGAGTTCTCTTCAATAATACTTCCTTCATCATTGGTGACTACCAAATATTTCTGACTTTCCCCTGATCAAACAAACACCTTGGTTAATCTGCACTTTTTCCTCCCTCTTGGTTATGTTTCTCATTGGTAACCTTTTAATAACATTGATCAACTGGCTCATTTAAATACACAATGACATCCATGCTGTGCAGGGAATAGCTCAAGGATAGCAGAGCTTGAGGAGGAGCCTTGTACGCAAACTGAGGTACAGCTCTAATTTATCAAGGAATAATGCTTGGTATCCTATGTGAGCATGGATTCATAAATACATTTTTTTTTTTTGCAAACTCCTTTGGGATGCGTGTACACTTTTAATATGGATCCCACGCAATTTTTGATAAATGACACCCCAGGTCTTTTCCCTGTAACCACAATTTGTCTGCTTAAATTTAGACAGTAAAGCTTAAATAGGTCAAGTAAGTTAAGTGAAAATTTAACTTTCTGAATCTAAAACAATTTTTGGATAATAGCAGCATTTCAGTATGAGTTGTTATGGAGGTACAAAAAGCAAAATCAAAGACCAAAACAGAAATCTTACATCACCGTGAAGATAGACAGAGATATTTTACTTCTATCGGCATGAGCGGTCAAAAGGGCGGAACTCTGCTCATCTTTCAACAGTTTCTGTCATCTTTCAGTGATGCAAAAAGACAGTTGCCTACAGACAACTGAAGGGATGAGCAGAAATTGAAAAACAAAAAGCTGTTAAACTATTTTTAGACTTTCCAACCCCTCTGTAGTGATCCAGATTGAGTAAGGCGGCATTGATTATATGTCACTTCTGCAATTACACCTGTTGTGTAAGTAAAGCTTATTGTTTAAGGCTTATAAAGGGTTGAAAGACTTGCCTGGTTGTAAATGTGTTCACAAAAAACATGATTTCAGTATATAAAAATTAAATCATTATGATTTAATTTACACTTTTCTTGTGATAACTGCAATTATGCTGGACTTGCTTAGTCACTTCCATGTATAACAGAAATCTGCAAGAAAAAACAGATGAGTGTGACTCATCAACAAGACACTGAAGCAATCAGTAAATGTGATGGACAGGCTTTGATTAAGTATGCCTAAAACATCTAAGACACACTTCCTGACTTTTGCTCTATAAAACAAATAAAGCACTGTTAAGGACAAGTATCTAAACAAATGCAAGATATCTCTCTCCCTGTCTCTTTCTGCACAGATATGTTTCTAAGTTGTTTGTGCTCTCTGTAATTAGTTAAGTAGGCAACAGTGTCAAAGAACTTTCAGCACATGCTCAATTTGATGTCTAAAAAGCATTGAAGATTTATTTATAGGCCAATATTTAAAGCACTGATTCATGAGCAAAGTTCAGATTCCATTTTGTGTTCAAAAGTTGCAAGATTTCAATGAAATGTGTCATTACTGTGTGTTTTTCTACTTTTGCTTTTTGCTAAATTGAATAAACCTATCAATCTAATATTATTTCAGTCAATTTTTCAGCACTTCAATCTAAAATTGTTTCTTTAAATTAAATAAATCAGAGTCTTTTTGTCCTCTTTTTACCTTTTTGATTGGTCCAAAACACTTGTCTTGGAAAGAGTGGGTGATCTTACTGTGTAGTGAGGATCATGCTTGTTTATGGTCAGTACGGTGTGACAAATTATGTATTCCTTATTTGCAAGCATGACACACTAAGGGCCTGATCTTTAAAGATTTTAAATAACATGCATTTTACTGCACATGTAATCATTTTTTGTCGGCAAAATACTTGTTGTTGGTTATTTACAAAGATTGCTGCACAAACTTTAAGACATTGAAACAGGTTTAGTTTAGCTCCAATGAGATAAGCAGATTTCGTAGTGCTACAGGGTATTTGAGAGTGGCTGTAAAAACAAAGATAACATCCCAAACCATGGAGATGGAGATAATAATGAGGATTATTTAAAATATAACAATGATAATCCCCTCTTAACAGGTAATAATGTGATGGAGGGGTGTTGGATAGAACCCCTACAGAGGATTCCATCCGCAGGGGGACTTCAACTCTCATGTGTGAAACAACAGTGACACATGGAGGGCTGTGATTGGTAGGAAAGGACCCCAAGCTCTTAGTTATTAGTTATTTAATGAAATAAATATTTGGGGACATTCGTCCCCAATTCCCTGCCCTGCTTCATTAAGAATAAAAGAGACACACACATAGAAATATTTTTTTAAGAACAGAATGAAGAAAGTGAGAAAAAAGAAAAATAACTAAGAGAGAAATGTAAGAGAATAATAAATGTTTTAAAGTTAGATTTAACACATTTATTATAGTCCAAAATGTAGAACTTTTATATCGCTTACAAAGAGTCCAAAAAGTAATTTGCTCATCATAGTTTTACTCTCAGTCTAAAACTTGGCAAGAAACAATATTAAGCTGATAAAAAATAAATTGTCCAATAAAGAGCAGTGTGCAAAGCGTTTCTTCTCTACTTCACCACCTTTCCAATAATGTAATGCCCCATTTAGTTTTGGAGAGGACCTTCAGCATCGAACAGAATTGATTGCAGAGGTTGTTCGCACAATGTCCATGGAGGCCTGCGTGGCAACCTAAAGTGTGGCTATAAGCCTTAACAATTTATGATTGCTAGACAAAAAAAACGTCACCATCCGCAAAAAATGGCGGTGCTTCATATTAGATGCCAGGTGAGAAAAATATCTGAGCGACAAACATTGACTTTTTGACAGTTGCTGTAATTTGTACCACTACACTGTCGTCATGCTGATATTATCCTGGGGTAGGAATGTAATTCAACCCCAGAAGTTCCAGTAGCAGACAGACCTGAAGTTGAAATGCCCCTTTGAATGGGCAAGATCATTTAAACCTTTCTGAACAATGTCTATATATATGTATATATTTTTTTTACATCTTCACTGGGGTGCCAATGAGAGGGCTGGGCATTTTATGTTATCATTAAAAGAACCATTAGATGCTTAAACTGCAGCATGGAAAATAGTCTGCTCTGAAACTCTGCTTTAAAACCAAACCACTCAAAAACTAAGCCTTGATTTACAGCATGTGAATAAAAAACTGTAGATATAAATACCTCAGATGCTGCGGCTTCAAAAATAAAACCAACAAATCCTGTGGACTGCAGAGAGATTTATATGCTTTAGCGGCAGTGTGCCAACCCATTCATAAAAGGCTTGAATATTATTGAGACTGATTAATTTGAATGTGATTAATTGTATTAGGCCAATAGGTTTAATTAAATATTTTAATTTAATGTGTTTAATGGAAAAAGGAAAAATAAGAGTCACTGGAAGGGCGAAAGCCCATTTAAAGACATTTGCAAAACATTAACAGTAATGGCTGGTAAGTATTTGTAAAAATGCATAACAAGAGAAAAAATGGCCAATTTCTGATTATGAACGTTAACCCAACAAAATGCTTAATTTCTTGTTTAGAGAAGCTGAATATATATAAACCTCTAAGAACTGATGCGGAGGGAAATGATGATGAGCTTTATGTTGCAAAGAGATTTAAACCTAATTCTATGAAATCATTTTTCTGTAGCCTCAGACATTAATTTTCATACATATTAATAAACTTAAATCAAGTGTTTAAAGGAAACTCACCACTCCATAAGCAACAGTGTCACTGTAAGATCGCAGCTCTGGGTAGATGTTGGAGAGGAACCAGCTGAACGGTTGGCATTTCAGTCGGGACCGGAGGGCTTTCCTCTCAGAAATGTCCCCTATGTCTATTCTGGAGTTCTAGGAGAGGAAGTAAACACAAACATTATTTTTCCAGTTTTAGCTTTTTTTTTTTTACTAATACTCCACAACCTCGAGCATTGTAATAAAATACAATGCGTTGAAACCTTTAGATCTAAAATGCTGCAGTAAATAAGGAGCTGAGTTCTGGCCTTGGGCTCCTTCCATCTATGCTGCAATTCTACAAGGCCAACTTGAGAGGCTTAAATAATAAAGGAGCTGAAAGAGACAATAAATGTTTGGAGAGCAAAGTCCTGGAGAGATGGCATTCATTAAATAGACACTTTTAGAGGGAAAAAAAGGGATGTTGCCTGCAATGAAAAATTAAATTAGACCCTGATTGTCAAAATGGCTTTTAAAAGACAAAAGTGTAAGATATGGGCTTAACATAGCAAATAAAGTATTCTGATAATTACCTTCCTTTTAGTTTTCAGTATATTTAAGTTTAAAAAAATGATTCACCGGTAATGTCAGCCTACTACAAATTAGAAAACCTAGTCTGGTTTTGACAAACATTTTTTTATATTACTCTTAAAAAAAACAATTGAAGATTTTCTTTATGCTGTAGTTTTGAAAGAATTGTTCTAAATCAGTAGATTGTATTTAACATGCACTATCAAAGCACTTGTCGTTGGATCTAACACACTAAACGATTTTCTTATGGGCTTTATGAAGTCTTCATTTCTAGTTAATAGGAAACTCCTCCAGATGCAATTAACTAGACAAACCAGCAGCCTCTCTCCGACATATGACATCCTACTCCAGGCAGCTGCTTACCTGAAGTGGAACATTCCAGGCCATGTAAACGTGACTCTTGTAGTTGTCCATCCACACCTCAGCCGCTCTCAGGGCGTTGCGTCGCACGTGGGCCGTCAGATTCTCCGTGTATGGTTTGTGAGCACGCTCAATGTGGGCGATCCTGGAGCAAGGCAGGACTTCCACGCTGCCTCCGCACTGCCACACCTGTTGTGACAACCAGAGACTGTTGTTCCCTTTAATTGAAAAACAGCAGATGTTTTCTGCACCTGCCAAGTCAGACTCAGTTACTCCTGTAGGTTGACAGAAGCAGATTAATTACTTGAATGCTGTGACTCAACCTCTTCTGTAGAATTAGCAGAAGCATTACAGGACCATAAGTACCATGCTGAGGATGCTCACCCAGGTGCTTTGCTATTTTTACCCAGTTCTACACCTTGTTGACAGTGGAAGCTGTCAAATATGCAAGCAAAGCCAAGGTGGCATACTGACAGATTCATACAGAATTCACAAAGAATAAAAGAGAAACATACAGTCCACTGGAAGTTGATGTTCAGGTGAGTCTTTTTTTAAATCTTTTTTATCTCACACAGATGCAGAGAAGGAAAATCATAAATCCCTGCTTGAAAAATATAAATAAAGCTGTGAAGACTTGATCTGGGAGGAAATTTTAGATTAAATCCACATTTGAATACACTGCCTTGCTTGTTTGCTTTTTTTCAAGCCAAAATGGGCCTAATGGCAGATGACCAGGAGCAAACCACTGCTGGAAACAAATCATAAAAAAGCCAAACTTATTTTGCCAAACCGTATGTTGAAAAGACACATGGCTTCTGGGAGAATGTTCTACGGGCAGTATGAAGAAAATTTTACCTTTTTGCCAATGTTCAATGTTCCCAGATTGAAAAAAAAAAAACCTTGCCCCAACTGTGAAACACAGAGGAGGCTCTGTTATGCTCTGGGACTGCTTTGCTTCATCTGGCACAGGGTGTCATGAATAGGGCTGGGTATTTTCGCCAAAGTCATGAATCGATTTGATTTAGATTCATGCACTCTAAATCGATTAATTTTGATTCGATCTGTTTTTACAACATTAAAAGTGGTTCAACTGTATTTCAAAACACTCATGTATTTTATTTTTTCCTGTCATTATAAACATAAAGTGCAAACAGGTAAATTGGACAAATGTGAACAAAACTCTCTCAAAAGTGCAAACGTGTCTGTGAAAAGTGAAAAAGTGAAGCCTCACACGAGAGAGCAGACGTGACACAGCGGGCATGCATGAGCTGCATTATCTTCCCTGCACAAACCATATTTGTATCGCTCTCTGTTACAAATACAGGGTTTTTGCTGGTCAGCCCCCATTTGTTAATGTCTTCAATCAACTTATTGGCTATATTTGCAGCTGTCTGGCTTGAAGTAATCTTGAGTGCATCTTTCCTGCTCATTTGAATGTGAACGTCACGCGTGTCACTATAGAACTAATCGATCTCATTCCCTAGACACCGATTTTGCAAAAATGTTAAGGAATCAATTCAAAATCGATTAAATCGATATTTTTACCCAGCCCTAGTCATGAATCTCTGCAGCATACACTGAAATCTCAAGACTGTCAAGCGATTCTAAAAAGAAATGTGCTGCCCATTGTCAGCAAGCTGGGTCTCAGGATTATGACCAAAAACCTGCAGCTAAATACAGCCAAGAATAGCTAAAAGGAAAACTGGGAAGAATCAGTACATATGAAGCGTTACATATGTTCTATCTATGTCTTCACGTAGCTTCCATTCAGCCTGTATATACTTACATTTCTTGTTTAGGGTAAATTTTTGATACCAGATGCATTTCCTGTCATCTAACCTAACAAAACATTAAGGTATTAGCAAAGGCTATCAAAACTGAGGCTAAAGTATTTACAGTACTTAAAGCTACAGACAGCGTAAAGAGGCATAGAGCAAGTAGGATTACAGGTACAACACAGAAAAGGACAGTAAGGAAATTGCATCTTTGTAGTCTTCATGTTGGACAATCTTAACAGCTGAGATGTTAAAAAATATATTTTTATCAAAGAATAGCTGTGTCCTATTTCACTGAGAGGGATCACAAGTCAAAAATATAATCCTTTCTAAGGGCACTTTAACACTTGTTTAATAATTTGACATTTCTTCGTTTTAATCTTATTTATCTTGAAAGAAAAATTCACCAATATCAATGTCAACATGACAAAACAATAACCTTGGCTGTTTTTTTTTATCAGTAACACAGATGAGGTATATGTGACCCACAATAAGAAATATCCTCAACATCATTTGGAGTACTTAATCATGTGCTTGCAGGCACTTACTGTCAAAAGCGGAAATATGCTGTTGTCATCATCCTGTTTTCTTTTAGGCAAACAATAATAAAGCTGGAAAAGGTCACCTTGATAAACAAATAAAAAGACGGACAGGCAGATTTGTGTGCTGTTCAGCAATCTTGAGTTCTGCTCCTGATTTACTTGTGCAGAGCCTTTCAAAAGTCTGAACTTTTCAGTTTTTCACTCTCACACTAGAAATGTCAATTTAGATCATGTGATTATGATAGGGAAACCACAACAGTGGGGCAACAGTGGTAACGGAAGTAAGGGGTTTGTCCTGCAACTGGAGGGTCGCCAGTTTGAGCCCCTCATGCAATATCACAGTCGTGGTGTTCTTTGGCGAGACTTCACCCGCATTGCCAACTGATGGTGGTGAGAGCTCCCAGTGCTGACTGTGTACAACAGCTCTGCTTATATCAGTGAGCCCCAGGGCTGCTGTTGCTGCAAAGTAGCTTGCCAACTTCAGTTTGTGAATAAGTACATGTAGTATACGGCGCTTTGGGGTCCTTGGACTTGATTAAATTAATCTAACCAAAGTATTGCCAATGTGTACGTTGTGTGTTTTGAAGCGGGGATGTTGCGTCCAGGTCTCCACTATAAGAAGGGTTTTGTCGGCAGTTTTATTAAAACAGTTTTATTTTTGTTTTATCTGACCAGTCACCCTTTTGCTATATGATTGCAGTGGCTCTAAATGACTTGTGACAAAGTCAAAGAAATTTCATTTTGCCTCCTTCTCAACAAATCAACAATCAAAAGCAGCAAACACGCCGGACGCGTTACGACGCATAAGTGCAGGAAAGCAGCATATGTGCATATGTTTAAAAACTTTACTACATTTACAACAGACACTAAAGAGAACACTCCACGGCAACGGAGCTCTGAGCAAAGACAAGCTTTAGTGACCGGGTAAGTAAATTACACATTACTGTGTGTGAATGTTATTAACTTATAAGTAAGATACAGTAGTAGCCATTCAAGATTTCCCCACTTTCCTTGATGTGCCCTTGGCTGGTCCCCTACCATTCCTTTTAAACATAAATCTTTGTACTAAAGTATTACTTCTGTAATTCAGTGAAAGGGTGGAGAAAGGAGAGTAAGAAAATAAACACGCTCAGGGGAAGGAGGGATCCACCCCAGTGGCTGGAAGTTGGAGGGGATTTTGCTGGGAGCTGCAGGGAGGTAGGCTGCCATTCTGCTGACGTTTGACTAGGAAGGGCCATTTTGGGCTGTTACTGTATGATGACCTAAAAATCAGCATATTGACCAATCTGATGAGAAATCAAATATGTAGCACTAGGCCAAAGTGGAGCGCATACCCGTCTGAAATCAGAAACTAATTCTAAAGTAGGAATCGCGCAGAGTATCTACGTGCGTAATACGAGCAGTGAATGAGCATATTACACATCCAGTATAAATCATTTAAAATAGAACATTGCCTGTTGTGTAACCTAGCCGTACCTTATGCTAATGCCTCTCTGCTGCGCTTACGCTCTATTACTGGCCCGCTGTATTTCCTTCTTTAGACCTCTTTAAGGCCAATTATGGAGATTATCCTTTTGAGCTCTAGGTCTCTGAAACTCCTCCAGAGTTACGGTGGACCTCTTGGGTAGTTGTTTGATTAGTGCTTTCCTAGTCAATCATGACATTTCCAGGGGATGTCCAA